AGATTATTGGAGGATAAACTGCAAAATAAAATCTGAAACCTCCTGATGGGGGTTACTGGTCTGGAATCTGAGCCCCGGAGTTCTGGGCCCGGAAATGAGGGCTTGTTTGATTACAAATAGGTTTTTTGAGACTGGGAACCGGCTACTGCGGACAAGTCTGCCATTACTGAAATTGAAATCCAATGAATGAAAGGGGCGGGGTCAGGGACAGTTGGGCAGGGGAGGAAAGAGCTAGATGATGCTGGACTTCCTCCAGCCAGGAAATGAGGCAGAGCTCGGACTGACTTGCTGCAGCTTCTAATGCACATTGTGAGAAGCTCCCAGTGTGCAGTGACATCAGAGGAAACAGATTCAGTCTGGGGGAGGAGCTCTGACACCTGTGCGAGATGGAAGGGGAGGAGCTGGGACACTTGTGCATGACGGAAGGGGAGGAGCCAGGACACCTGTGTGCGACAGGAGGAGCCGGGACACCTGTGTGCGCGAAGGAAGGGGAGGAGCTGGGACACCTGTGTGTGACGGAAGGGGAGGAGCCAGGACACCTGTGTGCGACAGGAGGAGCTGGGACACCTGTGTGCGCGAAGGAAGGGGAGGAGCTGGGACACCTGTGTGCGCGATGGAAGGGGAGGAGCCGGGACACCTGTGTGTGACGGAAGGGGAGGAGCCAGGACACCTGTGTGCGACGGAAGGGGAGGAGCCAGGACACCTGTGTGCGACAGGAGGAGGAGCCGGGACACCTGTGTGTGCGATGGAAGGGGAGGATCTGGGACGCCTGTGTGCGCGATGGAAGGGGAGGATCTGGGACGCCTGTGTGCGAGATGGAAGGGGAGGAGCCGGGACACTTGTGCATGGTGGAAGGGGAGGAGCCGGGACACCTGTGTGCGCGAAGGAAGGGGAGGAGCCGGGACACCTGTGTGCGACGGGAGGGGTAGAGGGGGATAGAAGACTGAGAATGAACTCTGTGGCTGATCACATACATGACGATGGAACACGCATCTCACATTCTGGTATTTCATTTATAAGTTTATATGTTTAATACATCAATAAAAATACGGATCATTAATTGTGAAAAAAATGATTCTGCAGTCGGCTTCTCTGGGTTGCCTCTATAACAGTCCTGTTACCTGGAGATCCAATATTTTTCATTCTCTGTGAAGGGGTGACAACACTTTTTTTATAGTGAACTCACACAGCAGCGTTGTCACCTTATGGAGGGGGAGGGGTCTTTGGTGGACAGCTCATTTTTATCTGGATCTCAACTAAAACTTTTTAAGCCATGACAGCAATACAATGTTCTGTTTTGGGGGGGGCCCTGACCATATACATAGTTATCCAGTTAAAAGAACAGCACCCCAGTGCAGACCTCTCTATGCAATACAGACTGACCCACCCCCTTAGTACAGACCCCTAATTAGACACCCCCCATACAGACCCATCAGACCTCTCTATGCAATACGGACCAGGGGTGAACTGACAACTCATGGGGCCCCCAGGCAATAAGGGATCATGGGGCCCCTGTGTCCTTGCCCACACCCGAAAAAGCCAATGAAAGGTACCAGGGGCATCTCATGGGGCCCCCTACTGACCCTGGGCAGTTCCCAAGTGCTCGAATGGTCAGTCCACCCCTGATACGGACCGACCCAATTCTTTAGTACAGACATCCCCTCCCCCCCAGTGCAGACCTCTTTGCAGTAGGGACTGACCCACCCCCTTAGTAGACACCCCCTCCCCCCAGGACAGACCTATTAGACCCCTAAATACAGACATGCCCCTCAGTGTACAGACCCCTCAGAAGAGGGACCCCACAATATAGAACCCCCTACCCAGTGCAGACCCCACCAGTGAAGTGCTGTGCAACCCAAAGAATGGCAGGAGGTCACAGCACCCTCAGCGGGTTGCCACCCCCCCCCCCCCCCCCCCCCAAAACCCCTTAATATGCCACTGCTTCCTACCCCTGCAACTGTCACTTTTGCTGGACCTCTTGGCCTGGACATGGGATGGACCTCTTGGCCTGGACATGGGATGGACCTCCTGGCCTGGACATGGAATGGACCTCCTGGCCTGGACATGGGATGGACCTCCTGGCCTGGACATGGAATGGACCTCTTGGCCTGGACATGGAATGGACCTCCTGGCCTGGACATGGAATGGACCTCCTGGCCTGGACATGGAATGGACCTCCTGGCCTGGACATGGCATGGATCTCTTGGCCTGGACATGGGATGGACCTCCTGGCCTGGACATGGGATGGACCTCTTGGCCTGGACATGGGATGGACCTCCTGGCCTGGACATGGAATGGACCTCCTGGCCTGGACATGGAATGGACCTCCTGGCCTGGACATGGAATGGACCTCCTGGCCTGGACATGGGATGGTCCCCTTGGCCTGGACATGGAATGGACCTCCTGGCCTGGACATGGAATGGACCTCTTGGCCTGGACATGGGATGGACCTCTTGGCAGGATCAACAGGTCATAAAACTGTTACAGAGGAAAGTCTGGAAGTAAAGCCGCCACTCGGCATCATCTGGATTTTTTCCCCGGAGTTCCACTTTAATACAATATTACAATAATAAAGTGCTCACTAAATAATCTGAGCCGGTGACCCCGCGGTGCCGGGAGCTGCTAATACTTCTCCGGAGACACTGCAATTCAGTCATAAATCAGAGAATTCCTTTCCCGGCACCGGAGTCCATCTCCTGCCACAAGGCTTTCACAGACCACCCAACGGGGTCCCTGAGATGCCACTTCCTCAGGGCCAGGCGGTGGGCTGTCTTCCCTATGCCATCTCCACTGTTTCCACCTTCTGGCATCCCTTTGTTACGTCTCAGTGCTGCTGATTTCCTGCAGCCTTTTGCCAGCCACTTCCTGTCTCCATGCCGTCCATTGATAGTAGGAGGACATTTCTCAGGGCGGGTTTCCTGATGGTGACAACAGTGGACCAGGACTGGGTAATGTGTGCTGAAATGGTCACGTAGACTCCATAGGAAGCCCATGTGACAGGGTGACAACGCAGGAGCACAGTGGGGAGGCAGAGACAGAGCGTTGTCACCCTGTAACAGGAAGTATTTAATAAAAGCCATACATTTAGGAAATTGATTTTTTTTTAAACTGACATCAATATAAAGGCTTCTATGATATCTAAGTGATCGGTTTACATTCGTTGTAAATGGCTCCGCAGCGAGAAGACTTCATCCCTGGGTAGCCCTGGGCCTGGCGCAAGGTTCCTTCCCAATTCAAAGGTCACAAAAGTATTCATTGAAATATATTCCTTACTAAACACAAAGGACAGAAATCTTCGTGTGCAGCAAACCCAGAGCTGTGAGCGGGACCCATTAGGCTCCACCCACTACAGAAAACTATAGGCGGGGGCGTGGACAAGACCAGTCATCCTGCACAAAGAGAGCAGAACTGTGGGAGGAGCCCAGCAGGCCCCTCCCACTACGAAAAACTATTGGCGGGGGCGTGGACAAGAACAAACATCCTGCACAAAGAGAGAGAGAGAGCAGATTTGTGGGAGGAGCCCAGCAGGCCCCACCCACTACAGAAAACTATAGGCGGGGGCGTGGACAAGAACAGTCATCCTGCACAAAGAGAGAGCAGAACTGTGGGAGGAGCCCAGCAGGCCCCTCCCACTACAGAAATCTATAGGCGGGGGCGTGGACAAGAACAGTCATCCTGCACAAAGAGAGAGCAGAACTGTGGGAGGAGCCCAGCAGGCCACTCCCACTACAGAAATCTATAGGCGGGGGTGTGGACAAGAACAGTCATCCTGCACAAAGAGAGCAGATCTGTGGGAGGAGCCCAGCGGCCCCACCCCTATTGGCTGCCTGCTGAAAACGTCAGGAGGGGGCGGAGTCATGACCAGTCACCCTACACAAAGAGAGAGAGCATAGCTATAGGAGGAGCCCAGCAGGCCCCACCCACTACAGAAAACTATAGGCGGGGGCATGGACAAGGCCAGTCAACCTGCACAAGGACAGAGATAATAGCTGAGGGAGGAGCCCAGCAAGCCCCACCCACTACAAGCTGCCTGCAGAAAACTGGAGGGGGGGCGGAGTCAAGACCAGTCACTTTGCACAAACAGCGAGAGAGGGAGAGCTGTAGGAGGAGCCCAGCAAGCCCCACCCACTGCACTGCAAGCAGAAAACTACGGGGGAGTGGAGTCATGACCAGTCACCCTGCACAAGGAAAGAAAGCATAGCTGTAGGAGGAGCCCAGCAGGCCCCACCCACTACAGAAAACTATAGGCGGGGTCGTGGACAAGACCAGTCACTCTGCACAGAGAGGGAGAGCAGAGCTGTGGGAGGAGCCCAGCAAGCCCCACCCACTACAGAAACCTATAGGCGGGGGCGTGGACAAGACCAGTCACTCTGCACAGAGAGGGAGAGCAGAGCTGTGGGAGGAGCCCAGCAAGCCCCACCCACTACAGAAACCTATAGGCGGGGGCGTGGACAAGACCAGTCACTCTGCACAGAGAGGGAGAGCAGAGCTGTGGGAGGAGCCCAGCAAGCCCCACCCACTACAGAAACCTATAGGCGGGGGCGTGGACAAGACCAGTCACTCTGCACAGAGAGGGAGAGCAGAGCTGTGGGAGGAGCCCAGTAAGCCCCACCCACTACAGAAACCTATAGGCGGGGGCGTGGACAAGACCAGTCACTCTGCACAGAGGGAGAGCAGAGCTGTGGGAGGAGCCCAGCAAGCCCCACCCACTACAGAAACCTATAGGCGGGGGCGTGGACAAGACCAGTCACTGCACAGAGGGAGAGCAGAGCTGTGGGAGGAGCCCAGCAAGCCCCACCCACTACAGAAACCTATAGGCGGGGTCGTGGACAAGACCAGTCACTCTGCACAGAGAGGGAGAGCAGAGCTGTGGGAGGAGCCCAGCAAGCCCCACCCACTACGAGCTGCCTGCAGAAAACTACGGGGGGGGTGGAGTCATGACCAGTCCCCTGCACAAGGAGGGAGAGCAGCAGGGAGTGGTCTTCATTGCAGGGAGAGAACTACTCATAATAGAACCCGTGCACCATGGCGACCGCGAATAAGGTGGCACTGCAATACGTGGCGGATGCGAAGTTGTCGGTTTGGGGGTCCCAGAGGGAGCGGCTGGCTACCTTCAGGCCTTGGCTGCCCCTCTGGCCCAGGATGACGTTACACACCACCTTGTACCGGGGGGGGCAGTGCTCCTTCATTTTGCTGCGGATCAGGTCAGACAGGTTCTGGGCCCGCTGCCCGCTGGTCATGGCGCTGTAGTTCAGGTCGGCCAGGTAGTTCCTCAGAACCGTCTCCAGAACCTTCTGGGCCCGGCTGAGGTTGAACCTGCAGCCTTGGTCCGGCCCGGTCTTGTAGGTGTTCTCGTAGCGGATCTCCATGATGGGCTGATAGAGGGGAAGTCCTGAGAAGCTGACGCGCCCGTAGTGGGCCCAGGGCCCCAGAGAGAAGCGCTTGTTTGGCCCCGTGGCGCACAGAGAGTTCTTGCGGGAAAACGCAACGTTGCTGACCACGGAGCTCCGGCGGGAGAACGCGGCGTGCCGCTCCTCTATGCTTCTCAATCGCATGAGCGAGCGCGGAGCCATTTCCATGCAGTGCGAGCTCCTCCGAGTCATGAGGGCGGCTGACCTGGGGGATGCCTGTCCTGGGACTTCTCCCGCAACCTGGGTCAGCTGGGCCAGCACGGCCTGTGGGAGGGGAGCAGGGTGGTCCTCCATTATCTAAGAGGGACAGAAAAAAAAATATTTAGAAGTCATTTTCAGCCTTTTAAAATCTGCAGCTTTTATTAGAATAATCCCCACCATGGAGGTCCTTGTTCAGGCACTTCCTGTTATGGGGTGACAACACTCTGCCCTTGGGCCCCAGCTGTGCTCCTGTGTTGTCACCATCACACGTCTGACACACATTGCACAGATATGTGATGGACTCCGTATACAGTCAGGGTCTGACCTTCACAGGTGACTGAGGGTCCCAGAGGGTCCCTGGAAGAATCTGTCAGACATCGGAAGGATGAGAGACGCAAGTTCTGAAGAAGTCCAGTAAGAATTGTATCGTTCATGGCAGGGAATCAAAAATCCGACACGTTTCGGGGAGCCACACTCCCCCCCTTCATCAGGGAGAAGAAACAAACAAATCAGTATTTACAACAAACATTGGTCTGTAAGTTGTATCATCTACAAATATATGTATTACAGACCGGCGTACAGGATATCATCTATATATATATATACAGTGTCCCCCCCGGAATGTACAGTGCAGGAAATGTGTATTTGCTCCCCCTGAAAGTGAATGTTCGCCCCTCACACAGAAACGATCGGTCTAACAATGGAATATTCGCCCCTCACACAGAAATGATTGGTCTAACAATGGAATGTTCGCCCCTCACACAGAAACGATCGGTCTAACAATGGAATGTTCGCCCCTCACACAGAAACGATCGGTCTAACAATGGAATGTTCGCCCCTCACACAGAAACGATCGGTCTAACAATGTAATGTTCGCCCCTCACACAGAAACGATCGGTCTAACAATGGAATGTTCGCCCCTCACACAGAAACGATCGGTCTAACAATGGAATGTTCGCCCCTCACACAGAAACGATCGGTCTAACAATGGAATGTTCGCCCCTCACACAGAAACGATCGGTCTAACAATGGAATGTTCGCCCCTCACACAGAAACGATCGGTCTAACAATGGAATGTTCGCCCCTCACACAGAAATGATCGGTCTAACAATGGAATGTTCGCCCCTCACACAGAAATGATCGGTCTAACAATGGAATGTTCGCCCCTCACACAGAAATGATCGGTCTAACAATGGAATGTTCGCTGTAACACTGAGAGACAGAATACAACAACAAATTCAGCAGAAATGCGTCTAACAAATGATGACGGATCTGCATGTTCATGAGGGAAAGAAGGATTTGATCCCCTATCATTCAGCAGGATTTCTGGCTCCCAGGTGTCTCTCATACAGGTAACAAGCTGAGATTAGAAGCAGTCTCTTAAAGGGAGTGCTGCTAATCTCATTGTGTTTCCTGTATAAAAGACACCTGTCCACAGGAGCCATCAAACCATCAGATTCCAAACTCTCCACCATGGCAAAGACCAAAGAGCTGTCCAAGGATGTCAGGGACAAGATGGTAGACCTACACAAGGCTGGACTGGGCTACCAAACTATGGCCAAGCAGCTTGGTGAGAAGGTGACAACAGTTGGTGCAATCATTCACAAATGGAAGAAACACAAAACAAGTGTCAGTCTCCCTAGGTCTGGTGCACCATGCAAGATCTCACCTCGTGGAGTGTCAATGATCATGAGAACAGTGAGGAATCATCCCAGAACTACACGTGAGGATCTTGTCAATGATCTCCAGGCAGCTGGGACCACAGTCACCAAGAAAACAATTGGTAACACACTACGCCGACAAGGACTGAAATCCTGCAGTGCCCGCACGGTCCCTCTGCTCAAGAAAGCCCATGTCCAGGCCCGTCTGAAGTCTGCCACTGAACATCTGAATGATGCCGAGGAGGACTGGTGGGAAGTGTTGTGGTCAGAGGAGACCAAAATCCAGAGGAATGCTGCCTATGACCCCAAGAACACCATCCCAACTGTGAAACATGGTGGTGGAAACATTCTGCTTTGGGGGGGGTTTCTGCTAAGGGGACAGGACAACTGCACCACATCAAAGGGACGATGGACGGGGCAATGTACCCTCAAATCTTGGGTGAGAACCTTCTTCCCTCAGCGAGGGCATTGGAAATGGGTGGTGGATGGGTGTTCCAGCATGACAATGACCCAAAACACACGGCCAAGGCAACAAAGGAGCGGCTCAAGAAGAAGCACATTGAGGTCCTGGAGGGGCCTAGCCAGTCTGCACACCTTCATCCGATGGAAAATCTGTGGAGGAGCTGAAAGTTCGAGTTGCCAAACGTCAGCCACCAAACCTTAATGACTTGGAGAGGATCTGCCAAGAGGAGTGGGCCAAAATCCCTCCTGAGATGTGTGCGAACCTGGGGGCCAACTCCAGGAAACGTCTGACCTCTGTGATTGCCAACAAGGGATTGGCCACCAAGTACTAAGTCATGTTTTGTGAAGGGGATCAAATCCTTCTTTCCCTCATGAACATGCAGATCCGTCATCATTTGTTAGACGCATTTCTGCTGAATTTGTTGTTGTATTCTGTCTCTCAGTGTTACACCGAACATTCCATTGTTAGACCGATCGTTTCTGTGTGAGGGGCGAACGTTCCATTGTTAGACCGATCGTTTCTGTGTGAGGGGCGAACATTCCATTGTTAGACCGATCGTTTCTGTGTGAGGGGCGAACATTCCATTGTTAGACCGATCGTTTCTGTGTGAGGGGCGAACATTCCATTGTTAGACCGATCGTTTCTGTGTGAGGGGCGAACATTCCATTGTTAGACCGATCGTTTCTGTGTGAGGGGCGAACATTCACCATCAGGGGGGCAATACACATTTCCTGCACTGTATGTACTACAGACCGGCGTACAGAATATCATCTACAAATATCTCAGTATATTATGGATTCTAATAGACTTTTGCATGTTAGCTCGTCTCTTAGCCCTGATGAAGGGAATGTTGAGCCCCGAAACGTGTCGGCTTTTATTTTTATTCCGTGTTATCAGCAATATTATTATTATTAAAGTTCTTCCTGGACTTCTCCGAGGTTTGTGGGGCTCCCACCATTCCTATATTCTGGACACACATTGACCGGCGCGGCCCCCTCACGCCTGAACAAGGACCTCCATAGAAGGGGATGATTCAAAAAAAAAAAAGAAAACCGATACAGATTCAGGCTCGGCGCACACTGCTGTGACGCCATCGCTGTGCGACTTTCATGCGATATTGAAGTCTATGGGCTGCAGGACGCAGATAACGCATCAATCTCATGCAGGAACCTTTTCATCTTGAGTCGCATTGATTGGAACGGCTGCCATTGATTTCACTGGTCATGTGACTTTATGTGTCGCAAACCTCGCCAGTGTGAACTGGGGCTTAACCGTTTGGCGCAGGGTTCCAAAAGCCAGGAGGCGGGCCTTCGGGTCATGTGACCGCTGTGATTGGCTGTCACAATGATCACATGATCAGAAAGCTCCCAATCACAAGTATGCATTGGTGGCTTAGCGATCTCCGCCGGCTGCAGGGCGGTCAGTAGCTTTACCAGGATGAAGATGTGGTCGCTCGGCGTTGGGGCTCACACTCCGAGGGACGCACAGACGCGGCCGGCGCTAAGAGGTGAAGATTGAAGATAATCGCAAAGACATTGTAAAGCTTGTCGGAGATTTTTGGGCCGCACATCGAATTTAATATAAAAAAAATCTTTGCTTGGAGTCTGGCTCTAGTCTCGGTTCACATCTTTGCGTTTTCTGCAGCGTTCTGCGTTTTGTAGGAACGCACAGCAGTCCATTTCACATGATGTCCTATGGGACACGTTCACATCTCCGCGGTTTCACCCGACGCGTTTTTTTGGACAGGGTCAGGGACTCTTTTAAATGCAAAAAGTAGCATTTTTGGTTCTATAGACTTTAGTGGAGACGCTGCAAAAAAGCATGGAGTGTGTTTGCTGTGTTTTTGACACGTTTTTGATGCGTTTTAATCTGCCTAGCAACAAGGAATAAAACGCATTAAAAACGCAGCAAAAACACGTGTAAAAAATGCAAAAAACACCTCAAAAAGCACTGCAGAAACGGATGAAACGCAAACTGTGTGAACTGAGCCTTAGATGGGAAAAAAGCACGCCGCCAATTATGGATCCCAGTCAGGTATTTATCAAACAGCAGAATGAGGAGAATGACCAATCAGAAGTATCGCTGACAGGAAGACGCATTTATTTATTTATTTATAGCGCCATCGATTTACACAGAACTTTATATATACAGTTGTGTTCAATATAATCGCAATGTGATGGAAAAAGTGAATAAAGCTGCAAATCCTTCTAATCCTTTCATTTCCATCCACACAAATGCATTGGGAACAGGGGCCCTATGATCACCTATTGCCCGGGGGCCCCATGAGTTGTCAGTCCACCGCTGATTGGGAACACGACACATTCTATTCCAAATCACAACATGAAGAAAAAATACATCAAATTTGTGTTGTTCCTCTAAAAAAATGGAAGAAAAGTGAATATTAGACGGTTCAAAAAAATGGCCGTGTTTGTATTCTTCTTCAGAAACAATGGAGTCCTGTCCGTGATACTTTTTTTATTTGCACTAACATACAATTTTGAGGACAAGCTTTCGGGGTCTGTCCCCTTCTTCAAGGTCTAAGCAGTACTATTAAAAATCACAAAGTTTAAGCAGAAATGTTAGAATGGATTGAGAGAAAAAAAAAAAAAAAAGGGCTACAGATAAGATACATCAAAAGTGAGGGGGGGAGGGGGGGAGGGGGGATACAACACTCACACAGAGGGGGGGAGGGGGGATACAACACTCACACAGGGGGGGGGGAGGGGGGATACAACACTCACACAGAGGGGGGGAGGGGGGATACAACACTCACACAGAGGGGGGGGGAGGGGGGATACAACACTCACACAGAGGGGGGG